CACACACACCAAATTTGTGCGACTAAATCAAAATGTTGTCGAAATAAAACGTTTGAAAATTGAATTTCGGGTTTCTTTTTTTTGTTTGTGTGTGTGTGTGTGTGTGTTCATCTCCAACCAAATTGAAAACATTTGTAACGGAAATGAAAACCATTTTTTCCCTCTCTTTCTCTCCCCCATCTATTCTGAGAGCATTGTTGTTGGATTCGAGGAGGGGCTGCGTCAGAAACCCCAAAAACTCGACTCGTTGGCAACTCAGCGTTGGGGTCTGAATTTAAATTAAGAAATTTATCTTTTGAATGCGTCTTTTTATCCATTTTGTGTTCCCTTTGTGCTTGCCTTTGTTTTGTAAGTCGTCTTTGTGTTTAAGCCCAACAAAAAAAAAAGTCAAAAGAAACTAAATAAAGGTATACATCTCACCTTTTGGCAAATAAAATTGAAAAACGTGTGATTATACTATATTTTTTCATCTCATTTTGAAAAAAATAAATACAATATCTAAGATTTTATCAAAAATGCCTTGCATAAATACATTTTAATTTATTCCGTGTTTATTTTGCAGTCACTTGGCATGCGCGAAACGAGTCGCATCGCATCGCGTTGCTTAATTTAATTTCAAAGATTTATTTAAGCACCCAGTTTTGCACCTCCGATTCTTACGTCTCCCAACAACAATAATTAATATGATACTCCAAAGCAGAGTAGGCGTATAGCTCTATAAATCAGAGAGACAATAGATATTTGCATACGAAACTGCGCATCTTCAAGATAATTGCCTTAAATTGGTTAATATTTAGAAGACAATTAAATAAATCTGCGCTGCAAATAATGTCATATGTCAATGGGCGTTTCACCCAGGAGCTGCAATATTTTCACAGTTTTTATTGCCACCATTTGACTTTATTCAAGATTCATGCAAATCTGTTCCATAAAATGTTCAAATTATGCGCTAATGGTAAATCAGTTAGCTCGGCCAACTCACAAAAACACTGCCCAGTTGCCCAAACCGATTTGAAAACACGCACTTAAAACACAATAAACGTATTCAATGAATCGCAACCGATTTCTCAAGAGTGTATATTGTACAGTATCGAATGATTTTAGCTGAATAAATAATTTGTTTTTATTGTGTGAAATAATGCAGGAGAAGTTGAAGTAGCAGAAAAAATTTCAAATTACAAATGTCGAATAGTTATAGTATATATTATATAAATCACATAGCAGTCTCTAGCATGGTTTAAATCTTCTAAAGTTGATAAACAGAACTCTTTAAATATTATTTAATAGCACATCAAATTGTAAGCTTATTATTATGGGTGCCTGGAGTGTGGAAATTATAGTTCAATATTTAAGCATAATTGTGCGGTTAACATAAGGGTACTTATAGCTCAATAACTGTTTCATAAGGGTGCTCTAAAGTATATTAATAAAATTTCTGTAAGCATAGAGTTATTGATGGCTTCGTAAAATTAATTGATACATTTTTTCGACTTTGAGCTGAAGTGCGGTTAATTAACATACATTTAAAGGCGTCAGAATTTACTGCGCATACTTTAAATGTAGTCAAATATTTTATAATTGCATTTTCAATAAATATTGAATATTCATTCCATTTCCAACATTTCCAAATAATAAAATTTGTAATAATTTAACAGCTACCTCTTTCATTTTTCAATTAAACAATTTCACAGATGTACGTAACGAACTAAAAGTTTTAGTTGGATTTCTACCCTGGTCGTGGAGCACCCAAATCAAATTTACAGCATATGAGCATTAAAAGCACGGAATATGTTTAGGTGAGTGCCTGTCCGTCCACATATGAATAAATGTGTGTGTTTCTCCTTAATTATGAGTCCTGCTCTGTTCACATAATACTGTGTAATACTGTGCGAATGTGTGAGTGGGCATGTTTTAATGAAACTGGACTGTGTTGAGTGGTGTGTTGATGTAATGTATGTGGAATTGAGTCCATAACTGGCACAGCTTGGATGTATGTCAGTGTGCCTGTGGGGTAACACTGAAACCAAGGATATTTGGGTAGAACGGACGTGCCGTCCAATTTGTGCCATGTGTGTGGCATGCTGCCCTTTCGCACAGCCCAAAAGCCAGAACAAGAAAAGAGCAGAACGAGATACAAATACAAATGTAGGTGAAGTACGGACTCTCGGTGACCGCTGGGCGTTGACCGGGCTCAGGGCTCTGGGCTCTGGGCTTTGGGCTCGACCGAACGAATCTCGAGCCAAAGCGGGCGGCATAAAATACTCAAAGACTCATTTGCATATTGGGCTAACGGTAACTGAAACAGGGAAAGTGTTGTGGCCCACAGGAAAAGCGACTTCGTTGCTAGTTCCAATTCAATTTTTGAGGCTGTAGCCGTGTGTTGGTTTTTCTAATTAACAAAAGAATTTCATGCGGCTTATTTTCATTTGTTATTTGTTATTTATGCATATATTTACGGCGGCCATTACGAGACCTTTTGACCTATCGCTATTCGAGTGGTTCCGCTGGCGTATGAGTTATGCACTCGCTTGGATAGCGATCTAATTAAATGATTTACGACCACTACATAATGTTGTTGAACTATTTGGGACTCGGATAAGCGAGCAGCGATGCCGGCTAGTCCCCGCCTAGTCCCTGCCAGGCACAAGCCCGTTCCTTTCCAAATAGAAGCACAGATAAGCCCATTGCAATGGGGCAGCAACATCATGAGAGAGAAAGAGAGACAGAGAGATATGCTGTTGCTGCAGTTTTGGCAATTTATGAGATCGCATTTTGCATAGTTTCAAATGGCTGTTATACTCGTGCTTCAACACAAATTCAAACCCCAAACACAATTCATTTTCCCTGGCTCAACTAACCGAATCCAAAGCGTCGCACAACGGCATACAAATCTGCCGTTTTGCATTTGGCGGCCATATATCATTTCCCAGCGGGTCAACACTGGCCCCCAAAACAGGCCAAAGAGACTGGCCTAAGGTACAATGGGATTGGGATATTCCAGCAGTGCTGAACAATTTTAAAAATTAAATTCAATCAAACCAAATAAATATCTTATTTAATATATATTAAATATAGCATAGGAAAACAATTTGAAATTCCTTTCGTCAATGGTCGATTTGTATGTTAATATCATTTAATTTATTCATCAATGATACTGTCTTAAATAATAAGCTTAATTCGTGGCACTAGGGAAAAATGTCAACAAATAATAATAAATTAATAAGGTACATGCAAAAATAAAAAACTGGTATTCATTGTGAAAAAGTTAGAATATTCATTAAAAAATATATAAAATATAAATCAAACAAGTTTCAGATCGATAAAATATCCATGAGTATAAATATTAAAAAAGAGAATTAATAACAAACGCAATAATAAGTCGTATTGTCTAAATGTAAATTCAATAAAATAGATAACATATTCATAATATTAATACAATTGTTTTTAATTATCAATATCCTACAATTTTTAAATACATTAAAGCTTAGCTTGCAATAAATTTGTAGCTATAATTCTGTTGTCAAAATGTATTTAATTGACTCAAATAATTATTTAATACAAAAAAAAGAGCTATACTATTCTGTTAAGGTTTGATTATATTTATTACTATTTTATTGAAAATATGTTCTAAATTGGCTCCAAAAAACGTTCTTTTTTTAATTTTTATAGAGTTATATGATGTAAAGAGAGGTCATTAAACAATAATCAATGAATATATTTTATTTAAAAATTGAATTGTGTTTTATCCACCGTATTATTTTTGTATACCCAGAACGAGTTCAGTCCTGGCTGCCAGCCGTTAAATGAGTGGCTTTAGAGAATGTCCAACATTCTGGCCGAACTCCCACATCGGTTTCAGTTAGCCGTTGAATGCCACCAAAATTTATGCACATTTTATTGACCAACACTGAGAAAAACACAGCTGAACTGTTGTTGCTGTTCTTGTTGTTGGCACAACAACATGTCCAAAAGTGTTTTATGGTCGTTGTGGGTGCTCAAGTGGCCATTTTGGGTTTGCCTGCAAATGCACTCGCCAGTCTTGTCCGACAAGCACTTGGCCAGCAAAATGTGTAGAGCCCTGAATACAGATGAGTTTTAGCCCGGTTTAGAGCGAGAACTAACTAAATATGGCTATTTGAGACTTACAGGCATTTGATTTATATTCGCTGCTTGCGGAATACTTTAAGCTAATCGCAGTTAAAGACGCTTCGAGCCATGTCAATGACCTGGGCCAATCATCAGTGAACCGAGCCGCGCACAGAGAAATGCGGTTCAAAGTCAAAAACTCAATTAGCTAGCTGATGAGCGGCAACGGGAGCGGGACATGGGACGTGGAACGCGGAACGGAACTCTGACCGTGCCGTCGTCTAAAAATAAATGTACATTGAAAAGCGCAATGGAGTCGACGGGCGGGCTGAAGTGGAAATCTCGTTAAAAGTCAATAACAGACGCCATTAAATGCGCATGAAAATGAAATGAGAACCGCTTGATGAGGCGGGCTGTGGGCAGCACACAAAAGATTGGGGGGCGCGGTCTGAGAAACAGTGGAAAGTGGAAGCCACGCGACCACTTGAGCCGCCATGGAGTCATTTAAACTGACCTTAGAGCAGCACAGACAAGTTCAATGGCATTTATGCATAATAAAATTGAAGACACATGAATGGAATTTTTTCAAAACTTGTCAGATTATAAATGATTCCAAATTAATTGAAATGGATATGAGAATGTTTATTTAAATATAAGTCTGGTTCTGCCAAAACTATCAAATCGTATTCGCATACAGCAAACAAATTTATTTTGTGGATACATATTCTATTTTTCCCGCAAAATATTTGTGAGTTGTTCAACAAGCTGTGAAAAAATATTCAACTATTCAATCGCACAACTCAGATAGCTTTGGAAATTATTTGGTAGCAATAATACTCTCAGTTTGTTTCAACTTTAGGCTACTTGCATATCTCATATAGAAAACAGAACAAAAAATATTTAGTAATATTTAAAAGTGTAGAGAAAAAAAGAGCTAATTCTAATCTAAAATCCGGTGAAGAAACCAAATCAAAATGAATCGCATGCTGGAGACCGTAATCCAACGGAACGCCGCCACAACGGAGCGTATTACGACGGAGAATGTCCTGGGCTACGTAGTGTCGGACAACACCACCGGCAACGTGGCTGCCACCTCTTTCGACAATACCAGCGCTCAGGGCTTGGTGAAGCACATGAATGGCATTTTGGTTGGAGTTGTGCAGAGCGCTGTCAGAGATCTGGATCCGACCAATAAGCTGTGCTATCTACGTGTGCAAACACGCAAATTTGAGTATCTCATTGCTCCAGAAGAATTGTTTACCATAACCGTGTTGCAGTAAGCAACTTGAGAGAAGTATGTGTGTGTGTGTGGGCAAGGAGTTAATCATATTTTAAAAAATGCACAGAATGGCTTTCTACTTACGCGTATTTATTTGAGTTTATTTGTTCAGTTCGCCGGAGATACGATTGAACTCGAGGCGGTTTGGGGTAGGAGAATGCTTAAATCAACAATACGAATGCGATAGTTGGCAGACCGAAAATCCTTTATAATACCCAAGTGACATTGGCATTATTTATGGCATGGCTTCATTGGGCAGCGGCCAGGAAATTTATCCATGAGAATGCGGCATTCTAATGCGATAATTCAAAAGATTTACTTCTGTCAACATGACCATTTTGTAGACAAACTCGGGGTGGAAATGGCCTTTGACCTTTTCTATTTTTTCTTCTTTTTTTTTTTTGCTATTTTCATCTTGCATGCCGCAATGGATGCTGCCTGCTATTTTAATTTAAAATGGCAGAACTCGTAACTCATTTTAACGACGCACCCTCCACACTCTCTATGTGTTTGTGTGTGTGTGTGTGTGAACTTGTCCTATTTTTACAGGCCTAGGCCCTTTGCAGGGGTTGCTCGCTCGTTACAATAACTTATCTGCCCTTTTTTTTACCCCGGGCCATAATCACCACGACGCAGGGGCAGATGAAGACGCTCCTGGGGTGCGCTTTGTACTCATCCAATCCCGTTCCCATTGCTATTCATCCATGCCTTTTCTTCCATTGCTGTCGCGAAGCAGTTGTTCTTTGTCTTGGGCCGTTTTGTGGTACATACAAACACATACATATGATATAGAAATAAATATATAATTTGTACAGAAACTTAATTCAAACAACGGAAAACGAAAAAATTCCATGAAAATATAACTGGGTTTTCGTCTCGGTCTCTCTCGTTCCATTGTGAATGGTGCCCTGGTGGCAAGGTCGGTCTCTTCCTGCCGGTCCAGAAGTACGCACTTCATTTCATGCAGCGTGAAATTCAATTAATCCATGGACCATTGCTGATGACTTCATTTTCGAGAACCCGTCTTTGGCTACATACCTTCTCCACCAAAGGGCTTCCACGGGCATTCATAATTCATCTAGAAATTAGAAACACTCGGAATTATATTCAAATAAAACGTTTTTCTCTGCTCAAGTTAACATGATAATGGCACACACATATCTTTCACTCCACGTCCACCGCTCCGGCCTTCTCTGGCGTCCTTCGGGGCGTGTCTACATGTCTACATGCATTCGGTTTTCAGTAATTTGCGAGCTGCTCTATGAATTTAATTAAGTTGTGCGACATACCCAAAAGTGCCACTGCAACACGAAGTACAATGACAAACAAACAAGATTTATATATGTATATATTAGTCGTACTCGTTAGAACCCTATATGGGTTGGCCAAAGCGAAACTTCAGCTGCCCTTAGCCACGAATTATAATTTCTTTCTCGCGTATTGAATATTATATTTAAAAAAGAACCATAAACATATTAATAATTCTTTGTAAAATTCAAAGGAAAAATTAAATGAAAATAAGAAACTGAAATTGTACTAAAAGAGATCAAATAAAATTTGATAATTTCAATAAAGAGCACACAGAAAGATTGTTTTATTAACAATCTTGAAACAACAAAAGAAATAGCGATCGATATTAAAATAATGGAATCTTTCAAGTACAGTTTAACTATAAAAACCTCTAAGCATTTCCAGACTGAGTTCATACCTATATACTAAATCCAACAGTTCCCTTACAAGTTTTCTGAATAAATCCCACCCATTTTTCTGATTTACGAGTTGCTAAATAAAGTTTCATAGTGAATCAGAAAACAAATCAGAGCGAGTGCATTCACGAGCCTGTAAGAAATCAATTAAGTTAATTCAAACGTCGAAAAGCCATAGAAATGCGATTTAAGTGAGTGCCACAAAAAGCAACTGCTAAATATAGAAAAGTGAAGAAAAACAAAACACTCACACGCAAAGTGAGCGACAGAGATGGAAATGGAGATGGAGACTGAGACTGAGACAGAGACAGAGACAGAGACAGAGCTAAATAAGCAGCCGGAATCCTCTCACTCGAGTGCGCAGGCCAAGCCCATTTTGCCAGGCGCTGGCCCTGCCCCTTCCCCTACACTGAGAGGATTTCCGAAAAAATCGATAATATCAAGAGCTTAAGAGTCTTAAAAGAGTGGATCGATTTTTTTAATTGAGAAGAACATTTATCTTACAGCATTTTATCACATTTATATTTTTCACTTATTTATTTTGTTAATATACTGTGCCAAAGCAACCATTTCTAAAGGGGTTCACTCGAGGACAAGTGACTTTTAATTCTCTCAGTGTGCCCAGCCCGAACCAGTTTTGATGAAATGTTGTTGAATTTTTTCTGACTTGTTCAACCACCAAACATTTTCAGTTGAGACTCGCAGCGGCGCAGACGTCGAAAACCAGCAACGGTGGAGGCCTTTCATACATATTGCTGTTGGACGGACAAATGGACAGACCTACGAACTGACGGACGGACGGACGAGTGAGGTGGAGCACAGAGACAGAGAAGCACTGAAAAATAATCAACATAATACAAACAAGAAAGTAAATTTCAAACTCCAATAAAAAAAAAACAACAAGCACTTGTTATAAAATCAAACAAAAATAATATTGCAAATTATTATTATAAACATTAAAATACAAACGGAAACTGATGGATACACATTTTTATTTTACGGACTGGCAGACGAGCTATGGTGCATAAAGCTAACAGGCCATTAAATAATTGAGTATACGAAAATATAACACTAAAAACAAGAATATAATGAAATAAACAAAAACATAAAATAATAAACCACAAAACACTATTGGAATATGTAATGTGCTTCTTCTTCAACCCGCAATATTTACAACGCTCAGCAGTTGCAGCTGTTATGCAATAGATGGCAGCAGCATATTGCATGCGCCATCTATTGGTCGTTATGCATCCATATCGATGTTGGTCTGAGAGTCACTGCATGGCTAGTTTGACAGTCATTGTTACTCCTTCGGAGTTTTTATGTGATATAGCAGCAGTTATCATCTGCCCATGTTCTGCCTTGTCACTGCAGCATATTTGAATTCATTTTACATTCTTAGTCAACCTGTACTTGTTGCATGATTAACAATTTATATGTATTTATTTATGTGAAATAATTAATTTCTAATCGAGCAGGTTTCATTTAACATTTTCTTTACAATATACGTTCTTTTTATCCAGATCGCTGACTTGATTTCGATTTACTAGAATTGCATTTGACAACCAAAAAACATTTTGAAACTCATTTAAAAATCGAAAAGATGTCGAATTTATATGCAATTTTAATCTAGAGCAAAAATGAATCCTTACTAGCCCGAGAGCTCAAAAGGAGTTAGTTTATTTAATATATTAGTAAATTCTGTATATGCTTATGATGATTCTATTTAATTAAACTATCTGGAAGAATATTTTCAATATTTTGCCATTCATCAAGGTTGACATTTTTAATTATTCAGCTACTTAATGCATAAAAGGCATGGCTCAACAACGCAAGGTTAGCGTTGCACAAAAAGTTGGTTTTCCTTGATCCCATTTCGAGAACAATTATTCAAAACTGGTACTAGTCGGCGACCAATAAGCACAAGTAGCTATATTTGAATTGATTTCGAATGCCGATGAGCCAATAAAATCGAGCATCGTTAATCCAACCATTTGCTAAGGGGATAAGACAGTATAGCATATTGCCAATCAAAGATTTCAATTCAATTTTGGTTGCTTGTCACAATATTCGGAATAGCGCATAAAACTGAAGTGGGGGTAATGCAACGCGAACCATTTCATTCAAAATCGGAGCAATCGCAGCAGTCGAAGCAATCGAAGCATCAAGATGTCAGTAAACGCGGTTAAGACAACAAGATTGCAGTGCGGTCAATCGTTAGGACCCGTGGGTGCACAACATGAATGGCCAACGGGTCGAGGGCAGTTACTGAGGAAAAACATGAAAATCATCTTTCAACGCGTTGCGCTTGCACTCGATGGAGGGCCTGGATGCTGGGTGCCTGGGTGCTGAATACTATATGCTGGATGCACATGTGCCTGTGCCTGTGCCAGTGCCTCTCTTCCTCACTGTCTTTGTGGCACTGCCGTTGCATCAGGCAAAACGACAAGTGCAAAAAAGGCAAACTGAATACGTTATCTAAGGCTGAGACGGAGCCGCAGACTGAAGCTGAAACGAAAGCTGAGACCTCTTCAACCATTTGCGCTTCACTTGGCATATAGTTGCTTTTCAGCTTTTCATTTTGCTGTCGGCGGTGTCCACAAAATGCGCTGCACGCGAGCAACACGACATGGCGGAGCTGGAGTGGCTTCAGTCGAACAACCAACTCCAAATGTAACTGGTTTTCTGGACAATGTGCCGCCCTGTCGCCCTACCATCTTTGTAAAGGCACCATGGCCGCAAATCATTTCGTATGTGTGTGTATATAAATATAATGTATTTATATAAATAATTTCTTTTGAATAAATGCATATAAGAAATAAACGATCAAATAAACTACCTGTAGCATTCGTAAGCTTTCTTATATCATCTGCTATTTTTGTTGCATCTTCTTTGCTATTCAAAAAGTTGAAATTATCACTTGTACTATTTAGTTATTAATATTAACTATGATCAATTTATATACAAATAATATTACAGTTAATAATACAAAAAAGAGACTGGCGACTCAACTCAAATCAGCTCAATGTATTCCTCTTAATTTTAGCAGACTTTTTGTTCATGAATTTCAATGCATATAGTAGTATATTAATTTAGTAAAGATATAATTTAAGAGGACGCCTTCAACATTTTAGAGTACAGAATTGGTATTAGATGTGTGGGCTAACTACTCACCTACTAAAATCCTGAATGGGTTTACGACTCCTTTTCTGAGCATTTCATTATCAGTTTGTTACCATTGTTAACCCTATACCTGATGCCTTTGCAGAGTGCCTTCATTTTGGCTTGCTTTAACCCAAAAGTAACACCCACAGCAGCTAGTTGGC